CCTCCGCCCGGCGGCTCTGCATGCTGTGTGGTGTCTGTGTCGGCAGACTGCATGCACATCCTGTCCACTAACATGACATAACCCCGTCTTATCCGCCACAGATGGTCCAACGCCCTGAGGGGACAGGGCTCATGGGTGGGGGGGGTCCTGCGTCCAGTGCTCTTATATGCACCCACCACATGGCTGTGTGAGGGGCGGTGGGGGGGGGCTGATGGAGGTAAATGGAGGTTTTAACCTGGACGCAGCCTCCATCTTCTTCATTTGGTTCCTGGTGCAGGGGAGCTGTGTCATGTGACTTTCAGGTTTTCATTTCAGCGCAGATCAATGTCATCACACATTCGTCCGTCGTGATAAACTCACCGTGCATCAGTAGTTCATATGTTGACCTCTCTCCTCTCCTGCGTTTCTCCCACACAGCCCATCGACTATGACGGCTTCCAGCTCTTCATGGCCACTTACCTGGAGAACGACATCCCAGAGGAGCTGTGTCAGCACCTCTTCACCTCCTTCAAGAGCAAGACGGGAGGCTGCTCCCCAGACCCGTCCCGAGCCGGGACCAGCTTACTGGGTAGGCCGCTTGTTTTTATTAAGACTTGTTTCATTCCTGCTGCAGCACCAGAATGATCCACAGTCTCAGGAATCTCCTCAGGTGTTTAAAGACGTTTCTGATTCTGATCCTTGTGATCTTCCATCGAGAAGTTCTTTATTTCATGGGTCCTGTCTTTTTTCCCTGCGTGTGTCATCAACAGAGAATTAGTGTGAGATCCCAAATGATCTCTTCACATTGAGTTTATACTGATTTCACACTGACCGCAGCAGAAGACAGAGATGTGTGGCGGTGGCGGCTCCAGCGGCGTTGTTGTAGGTCATCTGCTGCACCGTGCCCTGAGTGCAGGGTGTAAACTGAGCGAGTGATGCGTGGGCCTCTGGCACCAGACTCCGCTCCGCACCACAGAGCAGCTGAGCAGACAGATGGACGACTGAATTAGAAAATACTTTTCTGCGAAAAGGCCACAAGAAAGAGCGTCCGGATGTGAGCGACAGCATGGAACTCTGGGTAGCAGCATTTTGTCAGAGGTAGCGTCCAGGTTTGACCTCAGTGCTGCCAGATGTGAAATGGTAAAAAAACAAACGTAGTTTATGCCAAATATTAATGTTTTTTTCGGGAAATTTGTCACATTCAGGGAAAAAAATACACAAACGTTAAAGTTTTTATTTAATAATGACCACATCAATCATTTACCTACGACAATAACCATCAGTCTATCACGGTGGGCTGATTCATTTTCCATCAATTGGTTGAGTTTTGATTGATTCAGTCAGTTTTTCAGGATATCTGACGCTGCGTCTTTCTGTCAAGTTACGTGATCTTTGTTCAAAATGAATAAAAGATGTTCTCATGTGGAACATCAGTCGATTCCTCTGATCTCATCATGTCGACCTTACAAACATCTGAGCAACCTCATCTCATCAATCCTGCAGATGAAATAAATCGAGACACTTGAACGCAAACAAATCCACTTTAAAAACACTTCCAGTGACGCTGAGCGTAGATCTGCACTGCCACCTGGTGACGATCCTGAATAATGCGACACAGCCAGACTGCAGAGATCCTGCAGTGACGGTTTCCTACTGTGAAGACGCTGAGACTGAATGTTTCACCCTGGCGACGTCCTGCTCTGACGTAATCTCTGTCCTGTAACACTGTGTATGATAGAGGCCTGTGTTGTGTTCATTGATATCAAGGCAAACATCAAAAACAGGGTTGAACCTGTAGACCTCCCGTAAGAGGAGCAGATGATTCTTTCTTCACTGATGTTCACGTCTTTCTTCCTGCGTCTTGCTGCCGTCTCCTTCTGTTTCCCCTGAAACCCCGTGTGACCCCAGAGGCTTGTTCCATTGACGCAGGCATCTCTATTCAGACCGAAGTGGCCTGTGCCCCCATCACAGGTATCGTCAGGGTCATGTTCGTCCTAATGGGACCAGATCCCCGCTGGCTGTGACCTCCTGCTCCGCTGGTGCTTGTTGTGCTCTTGTTGTGTTGTTGTGGTTCAGTGGACAAACGGTGACTTGATGCTTTGTGAATATTTGTTTTTTTATTTTAGCATCCCTCCATGCTTCCTGGGTGTTTTGGTATTTGGGTTCCTGTTGTTGTGAACATTTCTCTCTTCGTCCTGCTCTGTTCTTCCACTAATGTCTTCTTCTTTTCTCTCTTTCCTCCATTATTCTATCCGCTCCCTCTGTTTCGGTCGTGGCGTCCCCCGACAGGTATGAACGGGAAAAGCATCCTGTCCGCAATGGGCCGCTACACGCCCGAGCACTCCGGCGTGGTGAGCACAGCCGGCTCTGGAGCCACCACCTCCCCGTGTTCATCCCGCTCCTCCTCGCAGCGTTCAGGGACGGGGGGCCACACGCCCGGGGGCCCCCACCGATCGCCCTGCAGCCACGTCAAAWCCTCAGAGGGCAGCAGCAGCAACGTCCTGACCCCCAACGCTGGACCCGCCAGGTCGCCAGTGTCCCCCAAACTATCACCAGGTCTGATATCTCACAAACAAACTGGAAATGAGAATATAACCTTTGTATAATGAGCGTGTTCATCCCTGAACACTCTGTGTCGTCCACCAACAGAGAGGAGCCACTCTGAGAAGCATCTGTCTCTGCGGAGGAGCCCCTCGCCCCAGACAGGCTCGACCCTGCCGTCGCCTCAGGTGGTCTTTCTCAAGGACATCGTCTGCTACCTGTCCCTGCTGGAGAGGGGGACGCCCGAGGACAAGCTGGAGTGTGAGTGAAGGGGGACGGAGGATGTAGGGCGGAGGGTCGGCTCCCCTCAGAGGGGGTGTGGGATGGGAGCAGCTGTCGTTTTGCAATGTGTGTTTACGCTCAGGCCTCTTTAGTGCAGCTCCCAGGGACACGTCACTCAGGGTGACAGCAGGAGGAGTAAGGCTGCTCCATCCTGCTCCTCCTCCCCCAGGGCCTCAGATACGCCCGTTGCACCTCCCACACCGGGCAGGTCAGTGACATGCTCAAGCCCTGCTGCACCCGGTTGACTTCTTTAGTGTCGGTCTATATCAGCACGCACCGACGAGGCTAATCTCTGCTAACTGATCCCCATGCAGAGGTACAGAAGTAGCTCGCTCCACTTGTTTAACCCTGAGGCCGTCTGGAGAGAGTCCAAGAGCAAATGTTACAGCTCCAGAGAGCCGCTAATTATCTGACGGAATCTGAGTCATCATGGGATCTCTGTTCTCCCGTTTCCCTCTAGTCATGTTCCGGCTGTACGACACAGACGGCAACGGGCTCCTGGACAGCTCGGTGAGTGGTCGCTCTGTTTTCACCTCTCTGCGTTTCTTCTGTCCCTTTGCACAAAGTGCGTCTCAGCGGTGGTGTGTACATGAGGTCACTTGTAATGGTTCTGTTATGTCATGTGCTGAAGTGATCACACATAAGCAGTCAGTCAGGGAACAACACACGAGCTCTGTTACACTTCAAACTTCACTTTTCTGACCCCGACTTTAACTCGGAGCATTTTGTTCCCGTCACAGTCAGGAGACGTTTCACTTCTCTCACCTCTGTCGTGTTTAAAATGTAATGAAGTTCGGTTTTTCATCTTCTCTCTTTTTGTAGGAGTTGGATCGCATCATCAATCAGATGGTGCACGTGGCAGAATATCTGGAGTGGGATTCTACGGAGCTGCGGCCGGTGAGCGAACAGACACACACACACACTCAGAGTCTGATGAATAACTCAGACACCTGCTCTCTGTGGAGCTGCTGCCAAGAGCTTTTCTTTTTTCTTTATTCACCAAAATCTACAACTGCATCAAAAGAAATTAGAAATTAAAACAGTGTTGTTGCACGTTTCGTTGTTTCTTTCACCTGGTGAACTCTGGTTTTCTTTTTTTGTTGTTGAATTTACAATAAAAGCTGTAATTGACACAGACTCTGACTTTTTCTGTCACTTTAGATTCTGAAGGAGATGATGGAAGAAATCGACTACGACCGAGACGGGACAGTGACGCTGGAGGAGTGGATCAGAGGAGGCCTCACAACCATCCCTTTACTGGTCCTGCTGGGCATGGACACGGTACACATCTGTGTGTGTGTGTGTGTGTGTGTGTGTGTTTTATATTGAAGTTGAGATTGTTTGAGTTCAGCAGGTGGCGCTCACATCTCCTCTAAATGTAAACACGCTGCTTATATCTCATTCTAATCATTCATCGTTCTTCTTTTACTCTAAACCAAGATCTGAGGTGAATAAGTGTGATTATGTTGTTACGTCCCCTGTGAAGACGTGAGATCCATCAGGCAGCAGGTGATCAGTCTGATCTTGAACTTGAGCTTGAGGATCTGGGCGATCAGTATCTACTGAGAGGACGGCCGGTGGATCGAGGGCGTCCAGCGTTTACTGGCTGGCCTGAATGGTTCCGTCCCTCAGAAGAGCTGCTGTAGATCAAATTCCGAAAACCTTCATGTTGTATGGCTATAATAGAAACCTTCCCACAATGCATTGCAGCTACAGGGTCCATGCTGACCACCAGCTAAAGCTACCAAACTGGACTCGTCCATCAGAACTGGTCTGACATTGAAAGAAAATCCACTGTGCGTCCTCTGTTTGTCCTCAGAATGTGCAGGAGGACGGGCAGCACGTCTGGCGTCTGAAGCACTTCAACAAACCCGCGTACTGTAACTACTGCCACACCATGCTGCTCGGAGTCCGCAAGCAGGGCCTCTGCTGCTCCTGTGAGTCTGAGCCCGACTGTCTCCTCCACTCCATTATCCTCTGATGTCCTCCTCCCTCCTCCTGTCATTATCTCTCTCTCTCTCTCCGTCCCTCCCTCGTTTTCCGCTTTTCATTTACTCTCTCTGCATCTGACTCAAATTTTAGTGTCGGGCCTGAGTGCCTCTGAGTGGACGTTGTTTTTCAATACTACGTCCCAACAGTCGCCATTAAAAAGACATCAGCAATCCCATTATGAGTAATTCCGTTACTGATTGAATTCTGTTCTCGAGGTGGACGTCATTGTCACAGCTGAATGAAAGTACGCACTTATTGTCTGAAACCTTCTGTAATGTGATCCGGTCTTTTATTCAATTTCCCTCAAATCTGTGTTTTTAGTTCCGGTTGTTGAGACGAGAGTTCAAGTCAGATATAAAAACTTCGCCCACTGTTTCTCGTGGTTTTTCCTGCAGTATGCAAGTACACGGTGCACGAACGCTGCGTGTCCAAAGACATCGCCGCCTGCATCAGCACCTACGCCAAGTCTCGCAGACACACCAACGTAAGTACCAACCTGAACACGCCAATCTGTGCACAAGACGCTCCGTGTTGCTGGTTACATGTGCTGCTGCTGCTGTGTGTGTGGGGGGTGGGGAGGTGAAGACACGGGAAAACTCACGAGTCTGTTGAACACACTCCCACTTGTTACTGTTCCTGTTTGACGGAGCAGCGAGGATCATGGGACGGCCTGTGAGGTCGCGCAAGGTCTCTTATCTGGTTATCGTCCAAACCAGATCCTGAACCGACAGATATTTACTTCTGTTTCTTTTATTCTTATTTTTTCAATGAGCCAATTCTAATTATCAACTGCATATTTAATAAACATAACAATAACATTTATTAAAAAAAACAAGTTTCCAGTCCCTCAGAATGTGAATTTACTCATTTTCTTTGTTTTAAATCAGTTTAAATTCCAAATGTTCTGCTGTCACTCAGGCAAAACGTTATTTTTGTCCGTAATATGAATTGTACAAAATTATTACAAAGATATGGTTGCAGCTTTAAACCTTGTAGTTTTGGAAAAAGTAAAGTAAAAAAAAGTTACGTTATTCCTGTCAAAGCTCCACGAGGATGAAATCATCTGAGATTTCTGTGCAGTGAAGTTTGAGGTGAAGAACAGAAACATGTGACTCTTTATCTCGGGAAGTCATCGAGTCTGTCAGCTGTTTTGGTTCCGAGCTTATTTTTAGCTCCAGTCGTTTATTATTTCTCACAGTGTTATAAAGCAGAAGCTTCTGTGATAGCTGCATTTGTGCAATAGTTAAAGTAAAGTTCAATTTTACTTTCACTAAAATAAAGATTTAACTTTTTTTGTCACGTGATAATTGCTTTTCATATCACAACATAAACTAAATGTAATAAAAAACACAACATTTCATTTGTATTTAGACTGAATGACTCATTATTATTATAAAAATGTGACCACACAGAGAACGAGAGAAGTGGATGGATGGATAATTAGATGGAGATAGAAAAGAGATGTATAAATGTAGAACCAATGAGAACCAAGCAGACAAAGCAAAGGAAAAACAAGTGAACAAAGAGTGAAGAGCAGAATGAGATGAAAATAACAAATGTATAAAAGTTGGATTGCACATTTAAAGCAGAATGTTGAACGTCTCCTGTGTCTCCTGTGTTTCAGGCTATGCAGCACGTGTGGATGGAGGGAAACTCTCCCACAAAGTGCGACCGCTGTCACAGGAGCATCAAGTGTTACCAGGGCCTGACGGGCCTGCACTGTGTCTGGTGTCAGATCACTGTGAGTCCAGATATTAATCCTCTCATCAGGAAGATTAAGTCGTTCAGAGTTCTTTTCTTTCTTTTGAATTTGTTATCTGAAAGTTTTCTTGTCGCCAGAATCTCAGTATTTGAGACATCTGTGCGTTGAAACAGAAATATGAGCATTTAAAGATCGGAGGAGGATCAGACCGAGACCAGAGGGAGGTTGTTTCTCAGGAGGAAAATACGTCTGAATCTCACATTGATCTTAAATCGTTGAATTTAGTTGCTTCTTAGAGAAAAAGACAAAAAAGTAAGAAGAGTTCTCATCGTGAATGTTTTCCCTCTGGGTGAAGTTTGTATTTATTTGTCCTCCACGTCTTTATTAATGAAGAAATGTCACCATGTACCGTTATCCTGCAGCACAACTGAACATTCATTAGGATACTGCTGTATTACTTTAACTTGGTGTCCCTAATAAACTGCAAACCGAGTGTCCTGCACATTCTCTGGAGACGTACTCATCTCCGCTCCTTCAGTTTCCAAAATATGTAAAGTTTTTCTCGCTTCACCTCCGTAAACGAATCAAGATAAATCGTGTATAATCTTAATTCTTCACAGGGATCAGTCTCACACGTCACACTGTGTGTTCCTTGACGTCCACTAGATGTCCCCACTGACTTGCAGTTTGTGCTGCAGTGAGGTTTCTGTTGAAGCAGCCACACACCTTCACCCTTATTCTCATCTCAGCGTGAAACACACATAAACACGAGCTGACTGATAACCTGATCGATTCCCATTAATCAGTCTGTGTTTCCTGTCGGGGGAACGAGCTCCTGAAGCGAAGCGTTCCGTCCTGGTAGCGTCTCATGCTCCCCACAGTCCCACAGATGGATGACACCCACCGCTCTTCTGTTTCTGCCTCTCTGCAGCTCCATAATAAGTGTGCGTCTAATGTGAAGCCCGACTGTGATGGAGGAGCCCTGAGGGACCACACGCTGCTGCCCTCGTACATCTGCCCGGTCGTCCTGGTGAGAAAGCTCCTCCGCTCAGACTTCAGGAGAAATCGCTCAACGGTCGACTGTTGTGCTCGTACAGTCGGCCTCAATCTCACAGCTGACACTTAAAGAATGTTCACGTGTTCATTGAGAGCAGGGACTGAGGCCGGTTTCAATAATATATCAAACTAGAACGTCTCGTACCTGCACCGAGGCCCGACAGTCCCTTTATGAAACCACATTTACATTCACTGTATCCAGAGGTTTATAGATTTCAGCCCCTGATCCATGAAAAAAACCCACCAAGTCTCACAATGTTAAATAAAAATGAGTTCGATGCCACAGCCTCAGAATCAGGTCCAGCAAGTTAAAAAACACTGAGAAGTTTTTTAAAAACCAGAGTTTATCTCCGACACTCAGCAGGAAACTGTTCAAACATGAAGAACTCTGAACAGAGTTTGGTGGATTTGTTTGCAGCAGCTCCTCTGGTTCAGGAAGCAGAGGATCATGTGGCTGCAGGGGGCGCTGTTGCTCAGTAAAAGTTACACAGTGTTGCTTTAAAAGATGGAGTCTCTGTAAATCCTGAGATTTTTTAAAATTCTCTTTCAATTGAATTTTTCCAGAACCGAATCACAACATCGCTGCCTCACTTCATGTGGTCGTGTCGAGCCCTCACAGGGTTACGGGTGTCAGTCGTGTGGGATCAGTGTGTAATGTTATAAACACGACTCTTACTCTTCCTCCTCTCGCAGGATCGTCACTCTGTGGTGAAGCGTGGCGAGGGGGAGTCCCCGCCCAGCACCAGCCCCGACGACGCCAACCTGACGTTCAAATTCTCCCCCGGTGACGGACAAGCGCTGCAGGTATGGGCCTGTCCTTCAGCCGGCGGAGATCCACTCTCCACCCTCCACCTCCGTTGATTGATTCTTCTTTGTCTGCAGGTCACTCCTCTCCCTGGTACTCACCCGCTCCTCGTCCTCGTCAACCCCAAGAGCGGAGGGAGGCAGGGGGAGCGGTAAGTTCCTGCTGAGGTCGTACACAGAATGATTTGACCCCCAGATTAAAACATTTTCACGGTAGAGGGTAAATAAGAAGGATGAGAAGCAGTTCTCCGTAAACATGATCACGTGACCTCTGCAGCAGAGTTATTACGTCACTTCCTGTCTCTGTCTGCTGCACCGGGCTGCTCCACCTGAATAATGACGAGGATTTAATGCTGTTGTGAACACAAACTTTACTTTTTACATTTATCTTTTGATCCTGCTTTAATGAACTTAACATAATAACAGTTTATTTATCATTTATCTCTTTTCATTTCAAATCTCCTCTTAAAGTTGATCCTCCTGTTAAAAACAGATAGAGCACTGATATTTCATTTTGGGGGATTCTGGAGAAGTCTGGACTCGTTCCTCATTCCCTCTTACTTTTATACAAACAACCTTAAATGTTCTTCAACACATCAGGAACAACATGTTTCTCCAGTGGCTCTGAGGAAGTGAAATACAGGATCCCATGCTCTGTTTTTAGATCCGCACCGAGGTTTTCTCAAGTTCAAGTCTGAAAACTGCAGTAAAACAAGTGATCTTAGGGGCAAACATCCCTGTGGATGCACAGATATAAATATTAAAACACATTGTTATTACTTTTCAAACACAGAGGAAGTGCTGCAGCTCCCTGAACGCTGTAATGAGTGATTAAATAAATGTCATGCATCACTTCCCTCCACATTCTTCACAGCATCCGACCAATCACATCCTGTCGCACTCCTCATCCTCCAGCATCACCATAGCAACATGCTTTTTAGAAACATTAGAAAGGAAATTATCGTCTATTAATAGACATTACAAGATCAAAAAAAAACCTTTTGAAAAGGAAACCAGAGGCTTGTGTGCTGCTATTTTTGTCTGCGTGAAAACTTCTGTTTCATCTGATCAGTGCAGGAACACGTGAGAAGTTTTATACACTCCAGTAACTTTGAGGATTAGATATTTATTCCTTTTGTTTCTCGTCTAAATGAAACACACTGACCGGGCTCCTGTCAGCTTTTAGATTAACTGCATGATCTGTGAATGAGAATTATTGTTCGGGCTTCGGCGAGCGTTTCATCCGACGCTGTGCAAGGTTACAGGAAACCGCTGTGGTGACGCGTAGCTCGCTAACACGCACACAGTCTGAGAGGAGAGAGAGCATGGAAACTATTCAAGGCTGTTGCATCTAAACAATTCAGACAGAAACTGCAGGAGAGATGATTTAAGACGCGTGTCAGCGTCGTGCAGACGTCATCTCACTGAAGCTTTATGATGTTTGTACTGACACGATTGATTATTTTAAATTCCTTTATCTCTGGATGTCTTGAGCTTGAATGTTAAACAGTTGTAAAACATGGTTCGGCTGCACAACTTGTTCAAGTTGGTTTGGGAACGTGTTCGCACGCGTCCCACATCACATCTGAATCTGAATTCTGATCGCGTCATGAATCAAATGTTTTCAGACGCCAGGGACGGTCAGTCAGAGACGTCGTTCTCACATCCGTACGTTGGTACATCCGTCCCAGAACTTCTTCAGTTTGTAACCAGTTGATCAGATTTCATTGGCTGGAGTAAATTGTGATCTTGTGAACATCAAACAAGTCTGTACATTAAAAAAAAGGATGTATGAAACAGTATTTAGACAGGAAGTACACTGATTAATGGAGCGAACAACCAAAGGACAGTAGATCCAGATCATGACGTGACCATTGCATGATTCAAACTCATGACAGACGAAAAGTTCAAACCTTTTATTTAGAGGAAGAAGAGGACAGAGCTGGTGAGAGCAGGTGAGGGCCGAGACGAGAGGAGACGTCAGCAGCAGGAGGAGGAGGAGGAGGAGGAGGACAACTGTCAGACAGATAAAGTGAATACAAAGAAAAGGTGGAACGAGAAATGATGAGGGAACAGGTGGACGGGCAGAGAGACACGTGACTGGACGGCTCAGGTTACTGCAGGGGCAGTGAGTGATGGCAGAGCAGGTGGAGACAGAATGAATGAATCCAAATAAGATCAGGGAAGGAAATGCTCTTTTTATTTTAAACATAGAGCGCAATCTTGTTTGTAAATCAATTATTATTGAATGATTTCTATCATTCAACAAATATTCCTCTGACACTTTCATCACAGTCACTTTTATCCTATATAAGAGCTTTGACATGATTTTATAGACACACAGTATTTACCTGTATGGGAGAGCGTATTGTCCTGTAGTCATACATGTACTATTTCTGTCATGTTAATCATTCTGTCCAAACTAACTCTATAATATTATAATTATAATAAACACAGCAACAAAGAGCTGTACGGGTTAAAAATGAAATATGGTAAAAGTTAAATAACGGTTTTACATTACATTCGGAGAGGACCAAATTAATTAAATGTGTCATACATAATACTGGTTTTATTATTATTATTATTGGTTAATGTTTTATTGTGGTCCCTGTTTTTTCTGGCAGGGTGCTGAGGAAGTTCCGGTACCTGCTGAACCCCCGGCAGGTTTACAGCTTGGAGCGAGAGGGGCCGATGGTCGGGTGAGTCGGCTGCATTCATCCTCTCGTTTTCTTTATTAAGTGAATGAATAGAGAATCACTGAAGACACTGAAGACACTTCTCAGTCGTGTCGACTTCTGCAATCAGAAAGCTATAAACTTGATTTGCAAGTAAACTTTTTTTTTATGGAAGACCAAAATTCATTTTATTACTTTAAATGTATGAAAGAAATACCAAAGTATCGGCTGTGGCTCATTTGAAGTGAATTTATTTCTTCGTTTGAGGGCCGTTGCACGTCCTCATTAAACATTCATCATGTTGTGTTTAGGGCTTTAGAAATACAGACCTGCAGCAGCCAGTTAAAAACTCCACACACAGCATCTTTCAGAGGATAAATAACCGAAGAGCCAGACACACGGAGTTCAAGCTTTAATTTACTAATAGATGATTCCACGGTGACGGCGTCAGGAGGGACGATAGTTCAGGTATAGTTCAGTCATGGAGCTGTGTAACCCACAGCTCGCACTTTGTAATGAATGCTGTAACACCTCTCATAGAAGAAAAATAAAACAGCCCTACACAGCACAATAGAGTAAATGCTTTACGTTGAAGGTGAAGCTCTCCCTCGCCGTCCTTTCACCTTTTATGTAAATCAGTCTCCTCCCTCGCCCCTCTCTCCTTCTCTCTCTCTACACGAGGACGAGTAGAGCTGCCGCCCTCCAGAGCCCGTATAGGAACAGCGACCCGATGACGCACTCAGGTCTCAGGGGAGAAATGTGCAGATGATACGTGTTTGTGTTTAAAACCGTCGTGTGCTGCAGTGACACTGAGTTTAACTTCGATATCCAGCTTTGCCCACATTTCGCCGAATGTCGTCACTCAGGTCAAAAACAGTCAAGCGTTGTTTTTTTCCACCTCCGCTCATCCGTAGTTTTCTTGACGCCGCGCTTTTTAATTCCATTCATGCTTTTCACTCCTCTTGAATGTGCGTCCCGATGGTAATCATGTGATTGTTAATAAAGAAGCTCGTCTCCGTCTCCTCAAGTGCCCGCGCTCTTTTATTCGGATCATTCAGAGTCTGAAAGCCGCGGCCTCTTTCGTTCCTGTTACAAATGAGGTGATGTAACCGTGTTATTGCCGAGCAGTTTGAAGGAGAGACGCTCCACGCCGAGCACGAGTGAACGTAAACAGAGAGGCCTGTTGTCTCGTGGAGGGTTAACCTGCCCTCAGCTGAGCTCGCCACTACACTGTTACCATGCGCTCCCTAGCAACAGGCTCAGCTGGGCTTTGAGGTGAGAGGCAGTTTACTCCTGAGAAATTTGTTCAGGGCAATTAGCTCGCTGCGCTTCCAGACGTCGTTTCAGATCTCCCGCTGATGCAAAAACCTGCATTTTGTTTCTCAGACACACACAAAGCATGGAGCCATTGAAGGTTCATGTTTGGGTTGGATGTGAAAGCGACTCCACGGCGAGCGCATGGCGGCATAGTTTCTTTGCACAGCATTAGAGGGGGCTGTGACCTCATCTTGAAATGAGATAAAATAATCCACCGCTTCCTCACAGCGACAGCCTCTCTACCTCCGCAGAGACGTTATTCTCAAGCTGTCGTTTGTTTGTTTGTTTGTCAGCAGGATTAGTCAAAGACTGGAGGGGCGGGGCGTGGCCCGAGAAACAACCTGTTCGATTCTAAGCATGCGAATAAACGGACGGATCCAGGGTTTAGTTTTTCACTTTCTTTAACGTGGTGAGATACGGCATTAGCCTTAATGAGGAATGAGATCTCACAGTTCCCTGTCTGGGAACGTAAACAAAGGTTTTCCCAGCTGATTTCCAAACACCAACCTCCGGGCGGGGGTGGGGGGTGGGGGTTAAAGAGACAGGAGCTAAAACCAAGTGTTTGAGACAGAGGCTGAAAAGAGGAGCTGCAGCAATGGACAGTCTGAGGACAGTGTTCTCTGAACTCGACATTTTACAGTAATAACACTTGTTAAAATGATCGATGAGCAGAACTCTCTCCTTTAACATATAACAGGTAATGAATAAACTGAATGACCCCCCCCCCCCCCCCACACACACACACACACCTTTTTTAAAATGTCGTCCTGGTGCGGAGGGTCTGCAGGCTGTTCCTGTGCAGGACCAGGTGGTGGGTGTGAAAGAGGCTGGTGGCCTGTGTGCAGCTGTCTCGTGACGGGGGACAGATGAAAGCTTCTGTCAACACCTTTGTCCCAACGCAGATTAAACGTCTCTTTGAAGGGCGCGCACTCTGTGACCACTCTGCGACTGTGGAGGAGGGAGCACCGCTGGAGAGGGCACACATCGATTCAACACTCTCTCTGTTCCCTCTGTGTCTATCGGCCATTTTCAATTAAATAATTCAGACATTAGAAAACGTGATGACTAAATATTTCCTTCTACACTTTGACACCATATAAACCCTTATAACTTAAAACTGGATCGTCTTTTCTCTCAGGCTCAACTTTTTCCACGATGTCCCTGATTTCCGAGTGCTGGCTTGTGGAGGTGACGGCACCGTGGGCTGGATCCTCGACTGCATAGGTGCCCTTTTATTTATTCACCTCTTTAAAAGTAAAAATACAAGAAGGAACCAATAACAGAAAAAATACTTAAACACAGCAAACAGATTAAAAACAAGAGTACGTTTTAAAAGCAACGACACACGAAACCTGATTTTCTCACATACTTTATTTCCTGACGCTTCTAAAACATCATTCCAGTTTATTACGACTTGGATCTCTTTATTTTTACGACCTCCAACATCTTTGCTGTAGTGATTACACTGTAGTGTAACTGCATAGACTTCTGCCATCTGTAAAAAAAAAAAAAAGTCTGTCGGGGCGACAAACAGCAACAGTCAGCAGATCGGACGAGTTGTAAACAAAAGCCTGGGTCAGCCAAACTTTATTTGCCAGAGAAATAAAAGTGATGAGGTGTAATTATGCAAACATCACATTTACTGTAGTGCTGCTGCTGAAAAACAGCATCAATGAAAACAGGTCTAACCCTTAATGTTTTATGAATGAGTGACTCATGAATGAACATTTTCTTAGTAAATTTAGATTTGCTGAAGTTATATTTTCGATGACTTTAAAATGTTCGATAGTAAACATCAGTCCATCATACTCTCTGTTATCATATACAACCAACGATATTCAAACTCTCTTCATTAAGAGTATCTGTAATTTACTTTAACTACTTTAACAATCTGGTCTCATGTTACTTGCCTCGTCTGACTGAATTGGAGTAGTGTCACCTTTTTACCAAACATGTGCATTTGGTGGATAAAATGGTCGAACCACCAAATGAATCATTTGTGCTTTTCCTTGAGTTCACCCGTCGTCATTTCAAGGTCTGTTCAACCGAGGAAATATAAGGTCGACCTGTTTGTCTCCGCAGATAAAGCCAACTTTGCCAGACACCCTCCGGTGGCCATCCTCCCTCTGGGCACCGGGAACGACCTGGCACGCTGCTTACGTTGGGGAGGAGGTGAGACACTCGCTCAATCATCTGTGTGTGTTTTGTGCGACCTTCCAGCTACGACCTCACACACAAACATACATGAATGCAACTTAAATCTGAAATAAATGGTTGTAACAAGTTTTTATCAGGTCAGTGCTGTTGGCGTGTTTGACAGACGTGTACAGTTGTGTATCATCTGCGTAGCTACGGAGTGAGATGTTGTGAGTAATCTGTACGTGGGGAATGAAACGGGTCCTAGGACTGATCCTTGTGGTATCCCTGTGGATTCACCAAAATTTAATTCAAGAGTCAACACTTCCTGTGCAGACAAATACAGTTTATTTTTATCTATAAAAACATATTACATTATACATATTCTCAATTTTGTTGGAAGTTTACAAGACACCAAATGTAGAAGATTACAGAAAGGTGCATAAGACAACACACAAAACATCTTAAATATTTGATGCGCTCATAAAATCCAGATTTTCTTGCAGGTTAAATATAATATCACTATGAAAAGCTGATACTGTCAGAGAGTAAAATTAGATCAGACATAAAACGTGTGAAATGTGATGAGACTTCACGACTAAACGCTGCTCGTGTTCATTTCAGAGTTTAAAGAACGAGCGTAGCTTCAGTCGGGTCACATTAGGATACAAAATGCCGGAAAGCGTGAGTGTTTGGGAAATGAAGAGATGGGAAGAGGAATGTGGGAACTCTTGTGTCAAATTAAAAACTGTTAATATGCAAAGCACTTGTGCTGTAAATCCTCTGCCAGCCATTGATTTGTTGCAGTACTTTGGGCAAATGATCAGAACGGCTGTGACTGCTTGATTGTTGCTGCCTGAGAGGACCAGCAGGACACTTAACCAAGCGCATGAATGATATTCTGTCAATAACGTAGACACATCCAGGAGCTTTGGGACTTTGGGTGAATAGATCACGTTTCCCAGAAATAAAACACGGGGGTGAAGCAGCCGGAGTCTCTGCAGCTACTTAGCTTAACGAATATTCACTGTGGCAGATTGTGTAAGTGAGACAGATCGGAACAATGTTAACGTTGTGGCTCGAGGGACGGAGACATCGGTCGGTTTGTCGGTCCAACAGACTCAAGAGGAGCTGCAACGTTTTCTTGGACCTGCAGAGTATTTTTTGATTTGTCCATAAGTCTTCTATCATATCCAGTTTGCATCAATCGATCAGATATTAGTTGAATATTCAGCTCTGTCACAAAACCACTTAAACAAACCTCTGAGATGTAAATAAGGTTTTACACAAACGTGTTCATTTTCATCTGCTTGTACATTTACCTTAAGAACAACAGAGCAGCAGTGTAAGTGTGTGGGGTTGATTTCTGTGGGGAGTAAAAATACACCGTCTGTTATTACGTGTACGTCTCTCTGAACACGCTCGTACTTCACACATGACGCTCCCGGTGTGGTCGACCTCATTAATGCCTCGTGCCCTTGTGACACCCTCTGGAAGTGCAGTACTTTCACCTCTGATCAGTATTAAGACGGCTCCCGGGGGTCGTCAGGACTCGGCTGTATCCTGGGTTCAGGGAGGGAGAACAGCCTTTGTTAAACAGCAGCCTAATCAGTGCCATTGTGTTTATGAATCCATTGAATCCACCAGTTTACCAGTTAAATAAATGAGAATATATACATGAGAAATCATTTATTCATCCTCTCTACGTAAGAATTAGATTTTTCCTCATTCCTGAGCTTCTATTTGAACTTGATATCAACACAGACCTTTAGGATATCGAGTTGCTGAGTTCATATTAACTATTATAGCACAGAAATGTTCACCCTCTCTGTCATGGACGTTAATCTGCTGCTCTGACGGCCTCCACTCTCCTCTGAAGGTTTTCCGAATGATTTAGAAACATGGCTGCAGGGTTTTGCTCCCTTTGGTTGGACGCTGTCGCTGGGCAGGAAGTCGTGGCTTTAGTTTCAGTTCATAAAAAAAGTGCTTTGATGGGTTTGAGATCAGGAGAAAGGTTAGAACGCCAAAGTAGACAGAAACAGTTTTATTCATTTTCTCTGCAGGTTACGAAGGCGGCAGTTTGCTGAAGTTCCTGCGGGACATCGAACACAGCACGGAGGTGGTGCTGGACCGCTGGAACATCGATATTGTCCCCGACGACAAGGAGGAGAAGGGAGACCCCGTCCCCTACAGCATCGTCAACAACTATTTCTCTATTGGCGTGGTAAGAAAACAATACCTGAAGTTTGTAAAGACATGAATCTGAACCATGTGTGTGATCATCAGGTAGATCATTCGAATCAGCGTTGAAATGTTTTCATGCTCAGAGAACACATCACTGTCCTCAGACTGTCCATCGCTGCAGCTCCTCTCTTCAGCCTCTGTCTCAAACACTCGGTTTAAGCTCCTGTCTCTTTCAGACTTTGGACGTTTGAACTTTGCAGAACTTCTACATTTGCATAAATCCTACACAACACACCAGAGGAAAGAAACAGTGCAATAACATCATTCGTCACCACAAGCAACACCTGAAAATATACACCGGACCCAGTGTGTGTAGACAGAATACGTCACACAGCTGCGGACACTTTGGTTATTTAAAACAGCGTCTTCATGCTTGAGACGATGTGATCGAGACGTTCTGCAGTTGTTGCAGTTACGACAGGGTGAGAAAGATTAGCTTCTCTTCGTGGACAAAAGCAATTAACGGATTCATCAGTGGATTTCTGCTCCTCTCGGGAAGGTTTCTTCTTTTTAATTGGAGGAAAAGAAACAAGTTGCCAGGCTCCAGTTGCTTAGCAACCTCTTTTCGTTTTTTTTATCACGACGGAGATACAGGTCCAAGGGCTCAGGGACGTTTTATACAGAGTTGACAAACAAGTCACCACAGTGCTGACTTAGTGATTGTGTTGCCTCAGTGTTTCTTCTTGGCAGCTGTGCGTGGATCCGCAGAGCTTCCAAACCTTGCACCCTGTGTCCCCCCCCCACCACCTACACAGAACTGCTCTGCACAGCGAATACACACAATCGTACTTAGGTGGAATTACAGGCACCGAGTATGTTTCAGTGGAAACCAGACTGGTAGCCTTGGTGTTTTGCCAAACTTTGAGCTGAGTCATCACCATAACAGCTAAAGTCGGAGCCATCTGCTGTTTTTTTTTTTCCTCCTGAACATTGAAGCATGATTAAGCTGATAAGTAGAAAAAAAACCTGTGCTTACACATACAACACGTATGACTATGAATAAACAGCGGTGACATCAGTGTAAAGACGACATGTGTGCGCAGGTTTCAGGTCAGGAGATGATGAAGCACAGTGAAATCTGCACATACAACATGTCGAGTATCTGTCTCCGAACAATGAGCCCCTATTCTCTAACATGGGGGGGGGGGGAGCAGTGGCCTGGAGGGGGTGTCAGTGTTGTCTTTGTGGCCCGGCTGGCACTGCCAGTGTCCCACGGAGACAGACAATAGTGTTTGACGGGCCGTCTTGGATTGATGGGTTTTTTTTCCCTCACATTCAATACTTTGTGTATCATCATTGTGTAATCAGTATAAATTTACATTATTAAACGTCAGTGTGAGTTTTTGAGGGGAAAGAAAAACTTTTTCCGCCGGACGGAAAATTTCAGGAAAATGTCCAAGTGAGAATACAGCAGGAAAACTTCTGGAGAATTCATGGCGAGCGAGTGGATGATGAGGTTTCTAACACGTGACGGGCGTGAAACTGAAAGAACACAAATATCTCAGGATGAAGAAGAGGAGTCGTACTCGTAGAAGACGAAGACGCCAACTTGGAAAGACGAGGAGATTCCAGAGCTCTGTAATCAAACACACAAAATAAAACTACTTAGTTATATTTGTGACCCATTTTGAATAATTGGCTTGAGGACATGTTGGGACTCAGTGAAACAGAGACAGATTCAAAGTTATTTATTTGTTTGGAGGAATAAACTATGACACCAACTTCACCCTTTTTAAAAAGGTTATTGATGTGATGCACAGATCTCCACTGCGACACGTTTGTTAAATAAGGCGACAGATCGCCGTGGCTCCGGGAGCCGCGGTGACAGATGGTCGAGTATCTGGGCACATGCACCGTGACACCTGAGCGAACCCCTCTCTGACTCACGCCACTGATGTCGCCGTTAGCAACCCAGCAAATCTGGTTTGCTAACCATACATGGGTTTGCATTTCCTGCCGTCCCGTCCCGGAACCTATCCGCTCCGAGGCCGTTGGTTGCCATGGAGACGGGAGTCTGAAAGCTTCCGCAGTCGTCTGTCCTTTATCTCGCTGACTTAATTGTGGGTGACACAGTGTGGATCATTCGGTTGGCTCGGCCTGAGGCTGTCAGAGCTGTAAATCAGAGGGAGAAGCCTGTTGTGTGATTTCAGTTTCAATCATTAAAAACTTTATTGATCCCCAGGAGCAAAAAAATAAGTTTTTATTATAGATGAAAACATGTTTTATACTTGGACGATAGCTTTGAGCATCTTTAATATTGTTTGTGTCGTCGTTACAGGAGCTGAGGACTGAGTAGGTTCAATCACTGAGCTACTGGCAGCAGCAACTGGCAGTGGAAAAGGTGCTTTGAGCAGTGGGCTCAGTGTGGGGGCTGCAGCACAAAGCATAAAAATATAAGAATCCTCCGAATCCTGTTTATATAAATCTCTACTGTCACATTTTAAAGCTCCAGATATATTAAAGTGCTCGTTGAAGTCAGTTCGGCGGCAGGATGATATAAAATACTTTTCATGCACCAGTGGCGGCGGCGCGTTTGACCATCTGTGCACTCGACTCGGTATCGGAGCCGTCGTTTGACCTGCAGCCTGGAAAGAATCTTGTGAGAAGAATTTGAGAGAAGGAAATCACACCATGTCAGCAGCCATTAAAGATGCCACCTTATGTTACAGTGAGGAGGCTGATGCACATGTGTGTGTGTGTGTGCACGCCCTGCAAGACGATTCCCAGTGTTAATGACCAATTCCTAATGTGCACCGCAATCCCTGACTTGGCCTTTGGTCGGGAGGGTGTAGAGTTTCCTGCTGCTTCTGATGGTCGCTCGCTGAGTCTTTCGTCTGATGGGAAGGAGCTGAGATTGGACAACAGACATGACGGGTTCTCTGCAGACGGGGAAAAAAACAATCGCACATTTAGGCTAAATACATATTACTTCAATTGAAGAAGTTTATAAACGTCGTGTTTGAGTCCGGACGAGGTAAAAACTGAGACGTTAGGACACAATGACACGAGCACGAGCACGAGCATTCTCTTTGCTGCAGATTTCTCCTCATCAGTCTCGAATGGACGATGAAGGAAAAACATAAATCTCTGTTCTTACAGGAAGCAGGAAAATACGGTCACGTGATCTGCGTCATGAGGATTATTAGGTTTACTGATCTCAAACAATTATCATGACAGAGATCGTTTTCATCTCCTCTACCTGGAATTCATCTTCACTTGTTACAGCGATCAGAATGAGACGGACAAGAGGATAGAAAAGGCAATAGAATAAATCTAGAAAATAAAAAACTGAATATTTAAATGTTTGTAGAGAAAATCTGCTTCAGAAAAGTGGAATCGCACAAAAGGAATAACGGAGCGACACGTGAGCTCTTTCACAGCGTCTCACAAAGCATCTTCTTTACGTCGAGCAAAAATCAGACAATGAGACCAGCGTCGAGTGAAAGAGAGTAAATATGTTGCTTCTATATGTAACTGAGACAAAGGCTCCATTAAATGTGTGTGTGTGTGTGTGTGTGTGTGTGTGTGTGTGAGAGCGAGCGATGCAGTCGTGCTGGCACAGGCTGAAGGTCAGGGGAAGTATCAGTGACAGGAAGTCGGTGTCTGCCAGGTTCAGACCAGGTTACCGCGGTAATGAATGACCGTGCTGAGTGACACCTGGCCGGTCTTAAAGACGAGAGGAACGCAGCTTCACCGCGAGGACGAACAAACACGTTGTCCGGATCCTCGTCGGTTTCTATAACATGAATTAATGTCACAGAGGAAAAAACGCGAAATAACCAAAACAGCTTCAATGTTGTGACCTCAACCTCAAACTTAACATCCCAACAGTTTATCTGAGGTCGTATCCCCTGCTGCTGTAGGGGGCGCCATTTCAGGATATGCTGTATGACAGTAAAGACAATCTGAGTCTTTCTTATGGTTCGGCTCAGTAGTGCCCCTAGTGGTCAAAACGTCATCAGGTCACCTTTAACCCACTCGTGTTCGTGCGTGTTTTTTACTTTTGAATATTTAAAAACTGTGACAGCAACAGAGTGAAAGAAGAAAACAATCCTCTGAATAAAGAGTGTTGTTGATCTGATAAAAATCAAACCAGTGTTTATCAGTGTGACGCCGACGTCAGAATAACCAGGCCTCTAACCAGAGGCAGTGAAACACAATAGGTCTGAACCGAGAACCCGTTTCTCCGCCGGGTGCCGTGGGTCCCACTGAGGTGACATTTTCTCGTCTCTGTTTTTCGTTGTTTTTGTCGTTTTTCCTCCCTCTCTTTTTTTGCCGCTTCCTCTTTTTCTCATCGCACCCCTCCGACGGCCAAACCTGAAACGGCAAGATCACAACAACCTTCATCACGCAGGCGACTAAAGGCGACGGCAAATGTCACATGTCGTTACTGCCGGATCTCTCGGGGGCCGGAGCGCTGGTGTGACGGCCTGCAGCACCGGACCGAGAGCAGATGACATGAAACAGCCCGTCATGTTCTGGAAATCTCTGCAGCCGCTTCGTGTCACAGCCTGGCTCTGATCCACAGGCTGTGCTGGACGCCCTGCTCACAATGTTCCAAAACCAAAAACACGTCTCCCCGGCGGTAAAAGAACCGCCCCTCTCTGAACGTGTATTGTAACCTTGCCACGACAATCAGCTCCATAGTTTGATCTCTTGTGGACAAACTTCACGTGTCTCGGGTTCATTGCAGAAAATCTGCTCGCCTGTGACGCTCCTCGCTCCCCGAGTGCCCGTATCGGATTCTGCGCCTGTGAGCGCAGCAGATGCAGATCTATTTTAGGATCTGATATTTGCTGATGCTGTGAGATCTCAGCAGCTCTGACTGGCTGCGGCGGAGCGTTGCAGCACCGCTGGACAGTTTTTTTTTTTTGAGGGGCGACGGACGAGGATGCATATAATTGCACCCGTCCACCCGTCCACCTGTCTCATCCAACCTTCCGTTCTCCTTGTTGCCGAGCGGCGAAACACCTGCGCGGGCTGGCAGGGTGCCGGCCTGTTAGAAGGGTTCCAACACTTTGCTGTGATTGTTCTCCTCGGAACAGAAGAGGAAGGTTTAACATGCACTGTGAAATGAAATGTGACGTAACAGACACTTCCAGCAGAACGCTTGTTGCCTCTTAAACAGCTTCTGTTTTTGTCTGTTGTACATCACTGACACTTTAACACCTCGTGTCGGGCCAGGTCGGTTATAATTACACTGAAGCTTAAAGTTCTCACGTTTCATTTTTATTTATCGATGTTTATTTTAGACTCCAGTGTTTCATATTATTACATATCGAAACACGTGCATGTAAAATGAACGATATATAAATATTGGTGCCGCCTGTTACATGATGTTGCTTCAAGTCGCTCTTAGTTTGTTGGTATGAACCTTTTATTTGAATTTGAAGGATCATTTATTTCTGTATTTGTTGATAACAACTGAACTTTCCATTCAACTGAGTGGAAGGATGTTTTTTTTTACGAGTCAGGATAGTAGACGTTACATTTCGGTGCAGATCCAGGAATTGTAGACGTTGTTATAACATTTTCCGAAGACAATAATTCACAAATCTCGAGGAAAAAAAAGTCCACGTGTGTTTAAGGGACTGATGTTTGATGGATAGTGGTCATATCATCATCTCCATGACCCTCATCTGTCTCCACATTTAATTATTCTGGGCTTTTCACAGATCACAGATAATTATTCAAACAACCAGTTGCATTTTAAAAACCACTGTTGTGTTCAGAGTTGGTCGCTCATTTAGTTTCTCATATTGTCTCGTGTCGTCTTTGTGCGTTAAGTGATGGAGGCAGGTCCGGTTGCGTCATGCGTCTTGTCTCTGTGAGGCACTTTAAAAACAGATGATGTTATTACACGGTGACAGAGTAAAGGGATGAGTCCTTCAAACGCTAACGTGGTTACGGACTCCACCGTCAGACACTTTCCATTCTCCATCACTCCGGCCACATCCAGCAGCCACACATACATCAGCCATATGACGTCCTTTGACATGTAGTCGATTTCGTCCCCGCACACATGCGTCTTGATCTTGTTTCGTATGTGCGGGGGACTGTTTATCTGTGAAGGACAGATCACGTCCTCGGGCCTGAGCAGACGCAGCTCTGGTCAAACTCAACCTGCAGGTCACGTTAGAGATGTTTTTAATTGATCACATCCACTCAAAGCTCAAGTGTCCAGATCTCCGCTGTGCGTCGCGTGAACGCGCACACGTGGTGTTCTCATGAATCTGACAACTATCAGTTTATATTCGAGTCTCGGTGGAGATGCTGCAGACGTGTAAAACTTTTAAACATTTCCAAACGAGACCGGGGGACAAAACAAGTATCACATAAAGATGACGAGAGGACAGTCTGATTTGATGTGAAGGATTGTTTCATTCTATCGTGGCAGGATGTTTCTCTGCTGCTGTTTGTGTTTCTGCAACATGAGAGGGTCACTCAGAGTTTGCTCCTGTGACTGATCGGGATTACATTCACCTCCGCCCCGGGGGTCGAGGGTTAAACGCACAGGGGGGAGGAGTGGAGGGGCTCTGACCTTTAGCTGGATGCTGGAAGTTAGAGCAGCTCTATTGTACTTGGTATTTCACGCTGTCGTCGCAGGTTAGACTGAATTACTGCTCACGACGAGGAGATGGTTGAACAAAACAACAAAATACACAGAAGACAAGTAAGAAAAGTCACTTTTAAGGTCCGTGTCCGGTGGTTTGGGCCGAAATACAAAAATTGTGAAGCTGAAACCCAGCTACACGTGAATATGGTGCAAAATAATTAGATTGAACTGATTATAGATAAATGGATGAAAGGATGAAAGGATCCGGATCCCGAGGGAAATTCATCCACAAGCTGATTGTGACAAATAAAAGCAAAATACACCATAAACATTGAATATGTGGGTGAACTTACAATATAAAAACATTAGTTTTCAGCGGTTAATTGCCTCTCAGTCGATTAATTAAAGGACGAAGGTGAATCATTGTAAACTACATGTAGATTGGACAGAGAATTAGTCCAGTCGTCTTATGAAACCAGATTTAAATTCACTAGATCCAATTTCGAATTTCATCTTCAAATAAAATGAAATTAAAATCCTGCACCGGATCCACACGGAAATTGATGAGCTTTAATTCGAATGTTAATGCACGTCTTTTATTTCATGACTCGCAAGCGTGCACGTTTTAAATTCAAGCAGTCTTCTCAGACTCAGAACTGATGATAAATCAACAGCTGAGTCTTAAAGTCTGGTGGACACGCTCAGTTTGTCGTCCGAGCAGCTGCCTGATGATCTGAAAATGAAGCTAATTGAAGTGAGGAGCAGGAGAGGCTATAAAAAAAACACATGACAGAGCTTCCAGCTGGAAATTTCCTCTGTCAGGAGTATAATTGAGAAATGAGAGAAAAGTCAAAACCCCCCTAATGAGCGTGGAGGAGCTGCAGGAAGGCTCGGCCGACGGAGGAGTGATGGCGCTCTGTTTACCGAGTTACACTAATGCACAACATCTGTATAAACCAGAGCTGAAACCAGAGCTGTGAACTGAAACACCGAACGTTCAGAGGGAAGAGCTCGTTTGAGTATCAGCAACCATCACCAGTTAGCTTTGAGGCATCTGGTGTCGAACAGCTCTGTTAGCAAACCAAAATATTCTCAAACAAATAAAATTAAAGATATTTGGACTAAAAAACTTGGTCCTTTGATCCCGAAGATGAAGGTAAAGCGACGTCCTGCAGGTAACGCTGTCTCGTCTCTTCTCTCCCACAGGACGCCTCCATCGCTCATCGCTTTCATCTGATGCGGGAAAAACACCCGGAGAAGTTCAACAGCAGGTAACTGGACGACGGACGCGATGGTGACACGTCACAGTTCCGCACGTCTCAACACCATTAGCTAACAAGAACCCTTAAAAACCGGCCGGTGACCTCGCACTTTAATCTGGAAACTCAATATCACACCGAGCCGCATTCGTCACAGGACAAAAGCTGCCACCGTGCTGGGATCAATACATCAATACGTCGGCAGCTGCTTAAACTGAGCTGACGTCAGATGAAGTCTAACTGGGACGCTGTTTGAAAATGTCCTCCAGCGTCTCACGAGCTGTTTTCAGATTTAAACTGGTTCCAGACAAAAGGGGTTTGCTATTCACAAATATTAGAGATTGTGTCTGTGGTTAGAAACGTCATCAACACGCCCGCTCGCTCGCTGTGAGTGTCCGGGACGTTTTTTCCTGAATCTACCTAAATCGATCTTTCTCACACACAGATGCAGGAAAACGTCGGTGCAGGTCTGAAATCAGAGACATGCAGACAATCGTTTACTTTACTGTTATAATTGTTCATTTAAAACGCCCCAAAAACAACTAAACCTATGATACATTATCATTTTCAAACTCAAACAACGTTAGCCGGTCGCATATCCAACAGGATCTTTGTCTTCGTGCAGCTCTGCAGTGTGTGTGTGTGTGTGTGTGTGTGTGTGTGCAGCGTGTTCCATGTATGTAGCTGCTTCCCTCTGCAGTGAACGAGTCCTACACACAGAAGAAGAAGAAGAAGAGGAGGAGAGAGGAAAAAGGAGAGACGGGTTGTTTATTCTTTGAAATTCAATAATTAACGCTGAAATTTCCAGCCCCGGCCTCGG